CCCCATAAATTCTTGAACCTCATTAAGGCGCTGTACGCCAACTCCCGCGGCCGTGTAAAGGTCTACGGGAAGCTTTCTCCTGAGTTCACCACATCAAGTGGTGTCCGACAGGGTTGTCCTCTTTCACCTTTCCTCTTCAACTTCGTCATCGATACGATCATGGAAGACTCACTACCAGCTTGTAATGCCTGTGGGTTCGAAGTGCTCCTTGGGCCTCCGCTCACAGACATCGAGTACGCAGACGACATAGCTCTTCTAGGATCTGACCCCGTGACAATGCTAACAATACTAAATAATCTAAATAATTCTGCCTCGCGGTTTGGTATGCGCTTCACACCTGCAAAGTGTAAAGTAAATTTATCAAGGAAACGTAACTATCACAAAAATTTTAAGGTTAAGAACAGCACAACCACGTGAAGGGTGGAAGAGAGCCAGAGGCGGCCAAACAATGACTTGGCAGCGAAGTATGGAAGCCATTACCAGCAAACTCAGCTGAGCTGGTCACTGCCTTCTTCCTGGATGGGGACCCCGAGACGGACCACATCAATGGCTAGAGACAAGATCAGACATGGCTCAGTCGCGCCCTCAATGGCGCTCGTGCATCAAAGCTATTGCCTTCAATGCATGGCTCCTTTTCCACCCCCCCCCACTTGACAGCCCACTAACAGTGCTGGATTTATGCACCAATTTACCAGCTCGCGCGTGCAATGCGCAGCTACCTACCCCCCTCCCCAAATCATCGGTGAACGAAACTGCGGCAGCTACAACCAGCGTACAACGAGTACGCGGTTCTTACAGCTGACAATGATGATTATGATGATGCTGAAGACCTTCGAAGGCCGTCTGCGTTTGATCATAGGGTCTGTTGCGCGGGTCTGTTGGGAACAACAGGTCAGTAACTCTGAGTCACGCTGGGCGGTTTTCGGGTAAGGTCGCTCTCCCTCGACAGATCAGCCGGTCACGTTCCACGGGTTGCGCTGATTGAGCCATGTACTTCGCATGTCATAAGACCGTTTACCTCGTAGCCTGGTTTCGGATGGATACCACCCAGGAGCGCTCAGTTCAGAACTTGGTAACGAAGACCTTCACTAGTCGGCTGGGTCGTGTTAGTGACTACCGTCTCCCCGGATGGGGTCCGCGGGCCAGGACAAAACAACGGTCAGTGAACCTGACAGATGTTGCTATATCATGCAGCCAATGGTGGTCTTGCATCAAAGCTATCGCCTTCACTACATAGCTTTCACTTCTTGCCATACGATCCGTCACGCAGAGGCTAGACGTTACTGTGTCGTGAAGGTCTGTGTGCTTCCGTGACTCATTGAGCTATACTGGGTAGTGTCCGTGTGACACTCCCAGAGTCTCATACCATGTTGGTCAATGGTTAGAGGTCTGACCAACACAGTCTCTCTGTGCTCCAGGTTGGAAATTGGAGCATATGTGGCAACTAGTGCAAAAAATGACAATACACTTGCATTTTCTGCTGACCCCCGCTGCCTTGTGGTCAGGCTTTTGAGCCAAAGGCTTTGATCGATGACCCCAATCATCCTGCTGGGGGCCATGGCAATATCCCAGCCCACGTACAACTACCGTATACGGCAGTGAAGCGTCAGTGTCAACACTGGCATCTCTGTCTGATGATGAAGACCTGTAACATGGAACAAACAGCTGTTTGTCGTCAATGCTCAGATTGAGCCGTTGCCTTCGACTCATGGCTGTCATTTCCCTGTTCTCCTCCTCGATGAAATTGCAGTAGCTGAACCAATGCACCTTGGTACACGGTTTTTAAATGAAAAAGTAAAGTGAACTGAACAGCGCGATGAAGGGAAGCAACGGACAAGTGTATGATCAGGTTGCATGCATATATTCCAGAAGCAGTGAAAAGTAGTGTTCGACTTTCGACATGCATCCTTTTGGATGCGGAACGGGTTCACTGGTGGACAACCCTAGCCACACGACTCCTGCGGTCCCGGAAATGGTACTGCAAAGCAACAGTTTTTGATCAGAACCCATATCCAGCAGGCGCTTTCCTTTGTCCATGCATCTCGTGCGCGACCCATGACGACCATCCAATTGGGCCTCAGCAGCGCTAAATTTCCAGCAACCACAGCGATGTCTAGTTTAGTCCATTGTAAAAGAGCACCCAGGGTGTCATAAAGGTTGTCCTTGACAGATTCAAACATCCAGCTCCACCCGGGGGAACAAACAGATACACTAAAGAGAGAGCCATAGACCCCACTTTCTCGAGATTTCTCCACAGACGTTTCCAAGCGAACCGCACAAAGGTGATTGCCATTCAAGTAGAGCTGACCCTACAGAGAAAGCGTTCAAATTGGGGTAGTGGGGGGGGGGCGAGATGGCCGAAGTGGTTAGAGCGCGGATTACTAACCTGAAGGTCCGCGGTTCGAATCCGACCTCCGCCACTCGACTTCCCCTGTCTAGGCTTGGGCAACCTGGCAGTATCCCAGCCCTCGTGCTTCCTTCGGGTAGCATGGCAGCTAGGCACCGGAAGGGTGCTACAGCTGAACGCCTTTTTTTTGTCCTTACCACTTCACCCATTTGGCCTTGAGGTCATCCGGCCATTTGCATCTGAATTTGCACGTGTGACTGTCGCACGTTGGAGCCTGTTTGC